TATCACGAAGAATATTTAGCGCAATAAAATTGCATACAATAAATTAATAAAAGAAAATATGCTGCAAATAAATGCCACTGTATAGGGATACAATTTTGGCAGTGCGGTCGGGGTCCAGCATTTGCCACACCGCGATGCGCCGCGCTGTAAAAGATGGATTCATGTTTATGTTCTCCTCATGTAACAATTATTTGTTTTTGCATTCGCGCCAGTACCTTTTTTTCGTAAGAGGAAAAAAACCTGTCGTAGGGACCTAGCGAAGGGGTAAGTTCGCACAAAAGGAGAATTAAGGGGAAGGGGCCCTAAGCAGGGTGATTTGGCAAATCGATAAATCGGCAAATTGGCAAATTCACAAATGAACAAACTGTCGGGTAACAATTCGCGGAGTTTGAAGCTTCACAAAAGTGACCAAGCGGAAAAAAAAAATAAATAGGGAGAGGGAGGGAAAATATATTTATTTGTTCGTTTAAATTATTTATTTATTTGTTTATTTATTTGTTTCCTTTTTGTTTATTTTTTTTTTAATTTGATTAATGAGGAATTAAACGAGCATGTTGAACGGGGCCAAACTTATCCTGGATATGCTTTCCGGGGGGTACTTATTGGTACGCATAATCATACAAAATATAAAAATAACATCACCTATAGGGGCTACTTTTTTTTTTCTCCTTTTTTTATCGCCCCTTCGCGGTTTCGGCACGAATTGTACCACGCTTTTACAACGCAGTGCATTTTTCCGTATGTACCATTTTATCACTCGTTCTTGTTTTTTTTTTAAATTTCTACATTTATGGCCATTGTTTGTGCGTACTGCACTTATGCGGACGGGTATACACTAGTGCCCCTGCGCGTCATCACTTGGCAGGTGGTTCCATTGCTGGGGAGATGTTGGTAGGGGATGGTGGCCTTATAAATCGTCGAGTGCGAGCGCACAACATTGGAGACCGGTTAATCTTCTCTTTTTTCCGTTCTTTTGCCGTTTTTTGGCGGCAGCCCTGCCCCCCAAGATGCAAGAAATCGTCAACAATAATGTCATTTTTGATTCCCTTGCAGAGACAATATTTTTTTTCTTTTCTTTGCTTTTTTTTTTTTTTTTTCTTTTTTTTTTTTTT